ACCGACTACATGTCGATCTCTTCTTCTCTTCACCCTTAGACGGTATACGATCGTGACTTTTGGTCGGCCAGGTAGCCTTCTGTCCATGGCTGGTGGCAAAACTGTTTGTAAGTCATCTGGTATGTCCCACTCAGAAGGATGTGGAATAGGGTAGACAATCTCGGCATAAGTCTGTCGATAAACTTCTGTAGTGTAGCAATCCATAGCGTATGCGCTTGAATCATCTTGGTTTAAATGAAGAGCAACTTTTATAACATGGCCACACGGATAACCAGATGTTTGCCATTTCATACAACTACACGTCTTTGCATTTAGATCGACTAGCCCATTTAAGTTATTATCCAGTACTTGAAACAAAGTGTTTGAACATGGTTCAACTCTCCATGACGTTGACTTCACAACACGTTTCGTTATCTTTTTTCAGTCCATGGTGTAACACGATGTTCCAATGTTCCTGTAAATTTAAATAAACAATACTTAGTAAAATATAATATGATAAGTTACGAATTCAAAGAAATAATACCTGCATGGTTTCTTTTTGTAGTACCACTGTTGAATAGAGGCTCGAAAAAACTCCATTAACATAGTAATGGGTAATTTCCGGGAATGACGACTTAGAGCGTTGATTGATTCTGCACTATTAGACGTCATGAAACCATATCTTGCTCCAAGTTGATGTACTCTTGACCATCTTTCAAACCGACATCTTCTAGTGTTTGAGCACACTGAGGCAAAACACGTCTTAAACAATTTATATGCTTATTGAAATCCACTTCCCGATAAGCTTTTACAGCCTTCCAGTATGTCCATTTGTGCTTTTTTATACCAGCAGACCTTGATTTTAGATTTCTATACAAATGAACACCACAAAGTCCATGAAAAGCATCTGGGAAACACCTTCTAACAGCGTTGTCAATTGAGTTTGCCCTATCGGATGATTGTCAGATTGCTAATAGGACCTATGCAATCCCTAAGATGCCCCATAAACCATGTCCATGAATCAGAGGTTTCAGATTTGCCAACCCCGTAAGCTATTGGCAATATCCCATTGTTAGCATCCATGGCTACTGCTAATAAGTTTACTCCAAGGTATCGACCTTTCAAATGTGCTCCGTCAACTATAATAACTGGGCGCATGCAAGTAATAAACGAACGAATCTACAAAATAATATACACAAGAAATATAATCATTTAAATGTGAAATGCATGTAACTAACAAAAATGAGTCAACAAAATTATATTGATTTACTAACCGTAGCACCAATGGCGATAAACAGCAACTCAAAGCGTCCATCTCTATCTGTTTTGATATGAGTTACCGACCCAGGATTTTTCAGCTTTAAATTGTGACAATAAGCCGGCAGTTGGGCAAACGATGCTTCTGGCGACCCCCTCAACAATTCCAAGGCATAACATTTGGCTCTCCAAGCTTGAGAATATGATATACTAATCTTGAACCGAGCATTCATGTCAGTCATAATTCATGTCCCCGATATACCCTGCCATTCAAAAACATTAACTCAGCCAGAAAACCACCCAACACCTTTTGTTTGCCTGTCTATGGTGAGGAAAAACTTGGGTTCTTGAACATGTATGTTTATCAATAAAAGTCCTAACTTGAAACATTTTGCAATCTTTTATTCTCTTTGCAATCATACGCCACGTACAGTTTTTGTCAATCATACACCTTGTTTCGAAACGATCTTTGCTTGATTTGTTAACTTTTAGTTGATAGCCATCTTCCACACATTTTGTATACAAAGCTATCTTCAAGTCTTCCTTTGTATCAAAACAATCATCTTTCTTGACACGAATAACTTTTGTGTAACAATCAACTGCTTTCTTTGCCAACTCTTCTTCCGGTAACTGAAGTAATTCTGGCATATTCCAGTTATACTCCCGTGGCATTTTCTTTTCTTCGGGGACTTTTTCTTCTTCTTTTCTTCTTCAGGATTATATGAATTACAGAATGGATGTTCAACATGTTCATTCACAGTCGTAACTTCCTCCTCATTATCATCAACAACATCTTCCTCGGCAACGGGTGTTTCATCATCAAAATTCGGGTATTGACCAATATTAAAATCATTACACACATGGTCTGTTTCTTCTTCTGAAACATCATCAAAATCCGTGTATTGACCAATATCAAAGTCCGGATATTGACCAAGACCAAATTTCGAATACTGACTAGTACTTACAATTTTTTCTGTTGGCTCATCATCGTCTAACTGGTCAATACGAAACCGGAATTTGGTGCTGAAAGTGATTGGGATTTGGATTAGAGAAAGGTTGTGGGTTTTGAGAAAAACTTAGTTGATTACTACCCGCTACTGACCCAACAATACTACTTCTAGTTCAACAACATACAATGTAACATCATCTTGTGAAACACTAATGTAAGCAATGAATCGTTCAACATCTTCATTGTCGGTTAACAAATAAACTTTACCATTTCTCTGATAAGATAGCCTAATCCACTTAGGGGCTCTAAATTCAATTTATTTGAAACACGTAGCATTAGAGTTTCATAAGTTAACTTTTGTAAAGACAATTTTAGTTGAAGATTCATGGGTAAAGGCATATATTGTAAAACACCATGAACATTATCCCATGACCCTCCAAAACACAAATCTATCCAAACATGATCAGATGATTTCATGGTTGTAAATTAATTTACTAAACAGACGAGCTGCGAAACTAAAACCTGTTGCCGGATTGGGAAGGATGTCGTTGGATATAGGAACGGATGTCGCCGGAGAGAGTGATAGATGGAGATGGAATGAGTTGCGATTTAGGGATTTAGTTTATGATTCAGTGTTATATACCCAAAATTTCAGTGTTGTGATTTACAGATTCTCGTTGCGATTTACGGATTATCGTTGCGATTTACAGATTCTCGTTGCGATTTACGGATTATCGTTGCGATTTACGGATACGCGTTGCGATTTACGGATTATCGTTGCGATTTACGGATACGCGTTGCGATTTACGGATACGCATTGCGATTTACGGATACGCGTTGCGATTTACGGATACACGTTGCGATTTACGGATACGCGTTGCGATTTTTGTATTATCGTTGCGATTTACGGATACGCGTTGCGATATACGGATACGCATTGCGATTTACCCATACGCGTTGCGATTTTACGGATACACGTTGCGATTTACGGATACGCGTTGCGATTTATGTGTTCGCGTTGCGATTTTCATATTCGCGTTGCGATTATTGAAAATCGCAATGCGAATTTGTACTATCGCATCGCGATTTTCAAGAATCGCGTTGCGATTTTGGAAACTGATTTGCGATTCTGGGGATCGCGTTGCGATTTTTATTTCGCGTTGCGATTTTGTTGGTCATTTTGGCAAATCCAAAAAAAGTTGGTTAAAATCGTATATTATAACTTTTTTTTGGTCACTGAGGCGATTTTCTCTATATATATTATGTAGTCACATGCAAGCTTTGAAGTATTTCTCGTGAAATTAGGGTTCTTTTTTTAGTTTAGGGCAAGTGTTATTATGTTGTTTCAGAATTGAACAAACTTGGAATTTGTATGGTCGGAATAGACAATCTCGTGAATAACCATAAAACCTGAGCCAACAGACAACTTCCATCAAAGCACGTCCCAAGTTTGTCATTATATTCCTATAGGAAAGTAAACCTATTTGTTCACTTTAGCTGTGATTACTGTTTCTGATTACTGCATATATATATATATATATATATATATATAGGGTAAGATCATGTTACACAATATAAAATTCTTTTAACTTTTTACAGATTTAGGTCCATTGGATGAGTGGAAATAGATGGTTGAGATTAAAAGTAGGATATATGAAGATATTCACTGGAAAAAAGAACAATGAGTCAATCTCAACCATATATTTTCACTTATCTTACGGTCCTAAATCTGTGTAAACTAAAGAGTTATACATTATGTATATATGTATGCGTTTGAATCCACTTATACTACGTAAAACTAATAAGTTTTACACCAATTTATAATTATTAGAGTTAAATAAATAAATGGCTTAGATTCAATTTTTATTTATAACCTATAAATAAATATTTCTTTAACACGCAACAAAACAATATTTTTTCCTTTTAGGATTAGAGTTTAGGACTTAAGGTTTAAGATTTAAGCTATAAGGTTTAGGGTTTATGATTTTGAGTTTGAGGTTTAGGGTATCAATTTAGGGGTTGGGTATGAATTTTAGGGTTTGATGTTTTAGATTTAGGATTGACGCAAACAAAAAAGAGATATTATTTTATTGTGAGCTTAAAGATATATTTATAATTATAAATTTTATTTATTTAAATTTAATGACAATGAATTAATATAAAACTTGTTAGTAAGTGGTCTGTCCCTATATATATATGTGTGTGTGTGTTTGTGTGAGATTATGGGTTTTATTATTTACATTAGTGTTTGATAGAGCTAGAAGCCATGCACCCAATACCAACCGGCTGATTCAAGAGTAAAACAAACAAAATCAAAAGTAAAAATATTAAAATTTACGTGAAATACCTTAAAAGGGAAATTATAAATAAAAATTAGAAATTCACTATAATTTCCAATAATTTAAGGCTACTTTAACTTTCACAGCTTAGTTTTAATCCTAGTCTTTATATTGATTACAAGCAAACTTTGCTTAATAAAAAAATCTATCTCATCAACACGCAATTGCTTTAGTAGGATGAGACACTAGATCTTTTAAGTAAGGTTAAGAGTTCGAAATCAGGCGATTGTGAATGAAGCAAATTATATTGAGAGGGTCGCCATTGCCTCTGCAGTACTCAATCTAAATTAGTCGATCAATAGATCGGATACCCATGGTTATACCAAAAAAAATCTATCTCAACTACATTTTCCTAAAAGTTTCTAGAGAAAATTAAATATAAATATATATAAGTTAAATCTCCGTTAGATTATTTCATCCATGGCACCGAATATGGAAACCAACAACGTTACTGTCAGCAAGCCTCGACGACGTCTTTCAATGGAGAACCTACAAAGAACGTTCTCCGACGTATCGTTGGAGCTAAGCAGAGAAGCCATTGATGCAACGCAGCAGCTTCCGCCTATATCGGAAGTCGAGGACGCCGACTGCGAGTGCTGCGGCATGTCGGAGGATTGTACTCCCGAGTACATTAACCAAGTTAAAGGCAAGTTCTCCGGGAAACTGGTGTGCGGACTCTGCGCGGAAGCCATCAAAGAAGAGACCGACAAAAATGGTGGCGAAAGGGAAGAGGCTTTGAAGGACCATATGAGTGCTTGCATGAGGTTCAAACAGTTCGGTCGGACTCACCCCGTGTTGTACCAAGCTGAGGCCATGAGAGAAATGGTGAAGAAGAGTAGTTCGGGAATTAGGGCCAAGTCGATGAGTACGAAAATGGGTGGTATTGCGAGGAGCTCGAGTTGTATGTCGGCTATCTCCAAGGACATTGGTGATCGAGAAATTATGAACTAAGGGTCTTTCCTATGGAGCAAGTGTTGGTTTTTGGCAAAAGTCCCACATTGGTTGTGTATAAGGAGGAGGGGAAATTCTTTTGTTATAAATAAAGCCCTCCTCCTCCTTAGTTAATCATCCCACAAATATAAGCCTTCTTCTATTTTAAAGGCTATTTGTATTCTTTCTCTCTTTGTAATATTTCCTCTATTAGTGAAATATTTTGGTGTTCTCTTTTATGTCTATTTAATAGCTATTGTCGGGTATAGTTGTTGTTAATTATTGTCCTATTAAAATTACTTGTCTTGGTAGTTCTGTCTAAGGAAAGTGAGTTTTAATAGGGACCATTGTGACCCCTCCTCTTTCCTGGGAATCTACCATGGGGTGATTTTTAGTACAATCGTTTTCACACTAGTCACCTAGATAATGGTTTTCAAGGTGAATTGTTATTGGTGGAAATTAACCCAAATTTCACAACAATTGGTATCAGAGCTATTGGTTTATTTTAGTATGCTCTGTGGTTGCGGCTTAGGCTGATCTTCCACATCAGAAAAATTTCCTTGGGATAATTGACATTCCGCATTGGCAGCTATTAAATAGAATTTGTAGCAGAAATGGCATACGCTTCTTCATCTTCAATTTTGGCAAGAAATACTGTGACAAATGTTAGATTTGCAGTGGAGATTTTTGATGGCACCGATCATTTCGGCATGTGGCAAAGCGAGGTTCTAGATGCCCTATTTCAGCAGGGTCTAGACATTGCTATTGAAGGAGAGAAACCGAATGATGTTGAGGAGAAAGAATGGAAGAGGATCAATAGAATGGCATGTGGTACTATTCGATCGTGTATTTCTAGAGAGCAGAAGTATGCATTTTCTAAGGAAACTTCTGCAAGTAAATTATGGAAGGCATTGGAGGAGAAATTTTTGAAGAAAAGCGGTCAGAACAAACTCTACATGAAAAAGAGATTGTTCCGCTTCAACTATGTACCAAGTACCACTATGAATGATCACATTACTAGCTTTAATCAGCTGGTGACTGATCTGATGAATATGGACGTGACTTTTGAAGATGAAGATCTGGCTCTGATGTTGATGGGATCACTTCTTGATGAGTTTGAGTATCTTGAAACTACTCTACTTCATGGGAAGGTTGATGTGTCTCTCAGTGAAGTAATTGCTGCCTTGTATAGTTATGAATTGAGAAAGAAAGACAAACAAGAAAACACAAGTGTCGAAGCAGAAGCTCTTGTTGTTAGAGGCCGTTCCAAGAGTCAGAATAAAGGAAGCAGAGGGAGATCAAGTCAAAGTCCAGATTGAGCAAAGATGAATGTGCCTTTTGTCGAAAAAGGGCACTGGAAGAAAGAATGTCCCAGGCTAAAGAATGAAGGCAAACCTGAAAGGGGGAAGGCTGTCTCAGAATCAAATGTGGTCGAGTATGATGATGGAGATTCAGATTTCGCATTCGCTGCTACGCCATCAACCAACTGTTTCAGTTCATGGCTGTTAGATTCAGCTTGTAGCCACCATATGACCCCCAATAGAGAATGGTTCTTTGATTTTAAAGAACTAAAAGGTGGAATTGTCTACACAGCAAATAATTCCCCTCTTGACACACTTGGGATTGGTTCAAATCGCTTGAGGAATCAGGATGGATCAATCAGAACCTTAACAGGTGTCCATTATGTACCAGATTTAATGAGAAATCTCATCTCTGTGGGAACCTTAGAGTTAAAAGGTTTAGAAGTGAGGGCAAAAGATGGGATTATGAGGATTATCTCTGGTGCACTGGTGATAATGAAGGGAATCCGAAAAAGAAACAATGTGTATTACTTCTGGGTAGTACAATTGTTGGGACAGCAGTGGCAGCTTCTACTGATGAACAGGAGTCAGAAGCAACCAGGTTATGGCATATGCGCTTGGGGCATGTTGGTGAAAAATCCTTGAAATTACTGATAGATCAAGGATTATTGAAGGGTGCTCGGGCTTGCAAATTAGCTTTTTGTGAGCATTGCATCAAAGGGAAGAAGACGAGGGTGAAATTTGGAACAACAATCCATGATACTAAAGGTATTTTGGATTATGTTCATTCAGATGTATGGGGGCCTTCCAAGACAACTTCATTGGGAGGAATACACTATTATGTCACCTTTGTTGATGATTTTTTCCCGGAGAGTTTGGGTGTATCCAATGAAGACAAAGGATGAGGTGCTAGGATTTTTCCTTAAATGGAAAAATATGATGGAGACTCAAACAGGCAGAAAAAATCAAACGTCTCCGTACAGACAATGGTGGAGAGTACAAAAATGATCCATTTCTGAAAGTCTGTGAAGAGGAAGATATTGTTAGGCACTTCACTGTCAGAGGTACACCACAACAGAATGGGGTGGCAGAGCGTATGAACCGGACATTAGTGGAGAAGGTTCGGTGTATGTTGTCTAATGCTGGGTTAGGCAAAGAATTTTAGGCTGAGGCTTTGGTGTATGCTTGTCACCTTGTCAACCGCTTACCATCGACTGCTATTGGTGGTAAAACACCATTAGAGAAATGGTTTGGAGTACCTGCTACAGATTATGATTCCTTACATGTGTTTGGTTCCACTGCATACTACCATGTTAAGGAGTCAAAGCTGGATCCAAGAGCAAAGAAGTCGATCTTTATGGGGATCACCTCTGGTGTGAAAGGCTATCGTCTTTGGTGTCCAGAAACAAAGAAAATAATCTTCAGCAGGGATGTTACCTTTGATGAATCTACCATGTTGAGAAAGGTGACTTCAGAAAAATTGGAGCAGACAGATGGAACTCCCAAACAGGTGGACTTTGAAGGAAGCAAATTTGTCCCAACCAGTAAAGAAACTGATGTTGACTCTCCTATGGTAGAAGAAGAGTCAGATGAAGAAGAGGTTCAGACCCAAGAACCTCCACAACAACATGAATCAATTGCACTCAGAAAGGGAAAGAGGACCATTAGACAACCTGCTCGTTATGCTGATATGGTCTCTTTTGCATCGCCAATTGCAATTGATGACGTTCCTGCCACTTTTAATGAAGCAGTTCAAAGTTCAGAACATAAAAAGTGGAGGATCGCCATTAATGAAGAAATGCAATCCCTTCAAAAGAATCAGACGTGGAAACTAGCTAGTCTTCCGAAGGGAAAGAAGGCAATTGGGTGCAAGTGGGTATATGCAAAGAAAGATGGATTTCCTGACAAAAATAACATCCGCTACAAAGTAAGATTGGTGGCTAAAGGCTACGCTTAAACGGAGGGAGTTGATTATAATGAAGTATTTTCTCCAGTTATAAAACATTCCTCCATCAAAATTTTGTTGGCTTTGGTAGCGCAGTTGGATTTGGAACTAGTTCAGATGGATGTAAAAACTGCATTTTTACATGGAGACTTGGATGAGGAAATCTACATGACTCAGCCAGATGGATTCAAAGTTGCTGAAAAAGAAGAGACGGTGTGCAAATTAGAAAAATCGTTGTACGGATTGAAGCAATCTCCAAGGCAGTGGTACAAGCGATTTGACAAGTTTATGATAGGGCAGAAGTACACAAGAAGCAAATATGATCATTGTGTGTATTTACGCGAGCTAGAAGATGGATCCTATAAATATCTTCTTATTTATGTTGATGATATGCTGATAGCTTCCAGGAGTCAGACAGAAATTACGAAACTAAAGACTCAATTGAACAGGGAGTTTGAGATGAAGAATCTTGGTGAAGTGAAGAAGATTCTAGGCATGGAGATATCAAGGGATAAGAAATTGGGGAGGCTTTGTTTGTCTCAGAAAGAATATCTGAGGAAGGTACTAAAACGTTTTGGCATAAATGAGATGTCAAAACCAGTTAGTACACCTCTTGCTCCTCATTTCAAGCTCGGTGCATCCATGTCACCTAAGGATGATGCAGAACGGGAATACATACCAAAGGTTCCGTATGCAAGTGCTGTTGGTAGCTTGATGTATGCAATGGTGTGTACGAGACCCGATATTTCACAAGCAATTGGGGTTGTGAGCAGGTATATGCATTATCCTGGAAAGGAGCATTGGCAAGCTGTGAAATGGATTCTGTGGTATATTCTGAACACCGTAGATGTTGGTTTGGTCTTTCAGCAGGACAAACAAGATGGTCAGTGTGTATTTGGGTATTGTGATTCAGACTATGCAGGTGATTTGGACAAGCGTCGATCAACTACTGGTTATGTGTTTACATTTGCAAAGGCACCAGTCAGTTGGAAGTCCACCTTACAATCAACAGTGGCTTTGTCTACTACAGAGGCAGAGTATATGGCAGTTACAGAGGCTGTGAAGGAGGCAATTTGGCTTCAAGGGTTGCTTGGTGAATTGGGAATGGAACAAAAGCACATCAAAGTGCACTGTGACAGTCAGAGTGCTATTCATTTAGCAAAGAACCAGGTTTACCATGCAAGGACGAAGCACATCAATGTTCGATATCACTTTGTACGAGAGATTCTAGAAGAAGGTGGAGTCATAATCCAGAAGATTCGGACCACTGAGAATCCTGCTGATATGTTGACAAAAGTGGTAACTGCGGTCAAGTTTAAACATTGTTTAGACTTGGTCAATATTGTTACAAATTAAAAGATTTTTTTTTAGAGATGTGTGGAATTTGCCAAGGTGGAGATTTGTTGGTTTTTGGCAAAAGTCCCACATTGGTTGTGTATAAGGAGGAGGGGAAATTCTTTTGTTATAAATAAAGCCCTCCTCCTCCTTAGTTAATCATCCCACAAATATAAGCCTTCTTCTATTTTAAAGGCTATTTGTATTCTTTCTCTCTTTGTAATATTTCCTCTATTAGTAAAATATTTTGGTGTTCTCTTTTATGTCTATTTAATAGCTATTGTCGGGTATAGTTGTTGTTAATTATTGTCCTATTAAAATTACTTGTCTTGGTAGTTCTGTCTAAGGAAAGTGGGTTTTAAGAGGGACCATTGTGACCCCTCCTCTTTCCTGGGAATCTACCTTGGGGTGATTTTTAGTACAATTGTTTTCACACTAGT